ACAAAAAAAAAAAAAAAAAAAAAGAAAGAAAAGAAAGAAGAAGGAAAAGAAAGAAAAACGGTGTGGCAGGAAAAATCTACATAAATAAAACTATAAAAATATTTCTTTGGTTCCATCAGAAATGATGGACAACAAAGGAGGGATTTGTATTAATTCACATAAGAAACTATTTGGAGAAGATATGCTGTCTGCTTTATATAATAATTTGGAAAGCTAGGGTAATGGTGTAAACTTCACATATGATGAGCCCAGTCAATATAATTGCATGGATAACCTCTAACCATGAAGAATCAATTCCAACATATATACTACGGGGAACCCCCCCCAAATTGAATTTATATTTTAAAATTATTTTTATTCTTAGATGTTTAAACTTCAGTCGCCTTCAAAGTACTCTCCACTTAATGCAATACACATATCCAGATGACTTTTCCACTATTCAAAAAAGTTTTTGAACTTGTCGATTTTGATGCCTTTTAGTGCTTCTGTTGATTTTTGTTTCACCTCTTCCACATCAGCAAAATATTTCCCATTGAAGACTTTTTTCATTGGAGAAATGAAAAAATAGTTTGTTCAGGGTCAGATTGAGTGGGACAAAGGCCATACCATTATTTATAAAACTGTGGAACATTCAGTGTGGTGTGGGCAGGTGCGTCCATAAATCACCCATCATGAAATGGGCAAATGCATTGAAAGAATCTCCAAAAAAAATTTCACTGAAGCCAAATGCCATCTTTCACAACAATGCCAGCTGGTCCACTGATGTAAATGGTTTCCCAGAACACTTACATGGTGGGGGGTGGGAGTGCCTGTATTACAAAGGGCTCACCTTCCAAAAGATAATTCCATTTTGAATCCCCCCTCATATTGTCTATTTTTACAAATGTGTTACTAGCAGAGGCAATATAAATATGAAAACCCCAAAAGCCAAAGGAAGCAACAAATCAGAAAACTGAATAAAACTAATGTAAACCAAACAAAATTCTTTTATTTAAAACATCTTTTTATAGCATCCCTTCCGAATAGTTGGTTTACCCAAATTACAAGCGCAGCATAGGGAAAAGTAAGGTATTAATGGGATATTTAAAGTTTTTGTATATTGTTGCAAAGTTATTTCTACTCTTATCAGAGGGCTTATAGTACTTTTTATATTACTTAAAGAGCAAGATTTGCAAACTAAAATGTCTATTAGGATATGAGCAGGGTATAAAATAACAAAGAGAGGTGTAGACTAAAGTGTATCAGTCAACATGTGTTCTTCCACTTAAGGCATTCAAATTCACGTTTAAGTACTATGAAGGAAATAGAAATATATGAGACAAGTCTGCCTGAAGGACATAGTTGAATTTCCTGGAGGAGAAAACTTTCCTTCTAGCTTATTTGATGATCTAAGTATTAGATTTTCTTCATTTCTTTCTCTCTTTTACTTTCATTCATTGTCTTTCTGTATCACAAATCCTAGGATGAAAAGATACAAAAACAGGTTTGGTTTATGTCTTCTTGACAACAGGGTCAAAAGGTACTTCTGCAGACTTTTTGGAGCATAGACCCAGGGTGTAATAGCATCCTTTTAAGACTTAGCAGGCCAATGACCATAGCCTTGTTTCCTTCCTGATTTATACATCCACATGCAGTGCATCACTGATATTTCCATTATTATTCAAACACATTTGTGTGTAAGCTATATTTTTAAAAGTCATCACTTAGTTTTGCCATTGTCCCCAAATACTGACTTATCTTTCACCTACCCTTAACATTCACGATTGAGTTGTCCACAATTACTTTTTATACATTCTCATCTGTCAATCACTTTCCAATTTACCATAGCCTGAATTCTATACACACTACTATTAAAACTCCAGATATAAGTGTAGTCTTAAATAACCTGAAACATAAGTTAGGACAACAAAGACTGGCAAAGTAATTAAAGAAAATAGTAACATACAAAAATATTTGTGTTGATGTGAATTTAAGGAAGAAACAGT